AATTAGTTAGTTATAGTAGAGTAATGAGTTATAATTAGTTAGTTATAATATAGTAATGAGTTATAATTAGTCATAATTAGTTATAGTAGAGTAATGAGTTATAATTAGTTAGTTATAGTATAGTAATGAGTTATAATTAGTTACAATTGGTTAGTTATAGTATAGTAATGAGTTATAATTTGGATTAGCGTGTGTCAGGTCACTGATTCTCCACAGAGGCTGCGGCAGAAATCTTAGATCTGTTTTTGCTGTCACAGACTGATGGAGAGCAACAGAGGGGAAAGCTTTCAGGCTTTTATTCGGCTGTTATTGATCTCTATTTCTGTGCTCGTCTCAGCTTGGGCCGGCGGCTCAAAGCGGCTGTCACATAAAAACTGCACATATCAGAGCAAACGCAGGAGTTTTCAGCATTAAAACAGCACCGTTTTTATTAAACTGTCACTCTGATTTTTCCTTTGACGGCAGGTAGATAAACAAAGGCGTCGCATGCTAACAATCAGCCAACACTTCTATTTATATGTTTTATCGGTTTTAAATCCAGCCAAAAACCACAGACTGTGTAAATTTAGTTAAAAACTACGAGTCAAACACACCTGACAGTGAAAAATAGGGGAAAAATGCTACTTTTTAGGCAGAAAGCGTTGGAAAATAAAGAGTCAGGAGCTTCTCAAACTGGACTAAACAGAAACCGAGTCCATCAAAAGCAAAATCCTGACACATTTTCCAACACAAAGGAGCCACGATCCCCTCAAAAAAAGAAGGATTTCACACAGAGTCCATAGCTTCTTTTCTCAGACCCAGACCAGGATTTCATGTGTGTTAAGAGTTCTTTAAGAGCAGTTCTCACTTCCAGAAAGTCGTTTTGTGTCAGAAAGTGAGAAATGAAGGAAGACAGGAGGGGGATTTCACTCTTTAAAAAAAGGCTTAAATCAGACTTCTGCCTTTTGAATCCGAAAATAGACAATATTTAATCTCTCAGAGCAAATTTTCAATAATTTAATATTAAAACAAATGAAAATTAAATAGAATTTATATTCAATTATATTGAATGTTTAATTCAATTGAAAATTAGATGTAATAAAATAAAATAAAACTAAATAAGAATAAATAGCATATCAATTCACGTTAACCATCATAATAATGCTTTCCTGTCATTTCTCTCATGGGAAATATTTAAAAATGTTACATCATTGTCAGACTTCTGCTGACATGACACTGGATCTCTTATAAATCTTTAAACAAATCTGACAAAAACAAACCAGATTTTAGCTCCTGAGAGGAATTATGCTTGTAATTTAAGCACATTTATGTGATTTTGGCTTACAAGGCCCACTAATGTTGGCGTTCAGGGCTAATCTGATTCTGGTTCTTCTGCCCCCTAAAAAATATATAATAACAAATAATAATAATATATTCTGCCGTCTTTTTTGTGCTTCTCTCTCCAGGTGCTTTGAAGTCGTACCTGCGTGAGCTCCCAGAGCCGCTCATGACCTTTGAACTCTACAACGACTGGATCCAGGCCTCCAAGTGAGCCTCTAGATTCAGACGTTTTTATTTAGACGTTTTTATTTAGACCTTTTTATTTAGCTTGTGCTCAGACTAACCCTCTGATTCCTCCCGCAGCATTCAGGACCCGGAGAGGCGTCTGCAGGCTCTGCTGTGCGCCTGCGAAAAGCTTCCCCCCGCCAACAACAACAACTTCAAGTGAGTCCCGCCCCCCCTCCCCGTCCCTGTCCCCATCCGCCCGTTTAAAGTTTAAAGTTTATTTATTTCTTTAATCAGGACAGCGCACATTAATGAACAATCTCATACAGATTGTAAATAAGCCAGATTCTAGCATAGTTGCTAGTTTACATCTGTCTGTCGTCCTGAGGCAGGAAGACCAAACAACACAAAATCACAAAATACAAAATCAGTCCAAACACACGTTCAGACAATGACATTACAAAATTAAAATTAATTCAATTCAATTCAATTTCATTTATATAGCGCCACATCACAAGAACAGTTGTCTCAAAGCGTTTCGGCTTTTGCCCGGTACAGTTTCTCTCCTAGAGCTGTGGAAGCTGGATCTGTGATTGGGAGTTTCTTGTTGTCCCCGTGTTCCTACTCTGCTACTACTCTGCATAGTCTTATTGCTGTCATAACTGCAATCATAATCATTAGTCTCAATATCATAGCCATTTTTCATCCATTATATGTGTTACTGTAGGCCAGTGTTTTTCAACCTTTTTTGAGCCAAGGTACAGTTTTTCATTGAAAAAATCTCGAGGCACACCACCAACCAAAAATGTTAAACAAATCTGTAGCCGCCTATAGTAACACTATAGTTATTCTTATCTTATTCTTATCTTATCTTAAGTGTCTTGAATAGGAATCGAATAAACACAAAAATGTATTTTTTATCATATATTATATTTCTTCTTTCAAATTGCACTTAACATGTCCACTTCAATATGCAAAATTATATACAAAATCTAGTCATAAGGAATTATTACATGATTACGCCACCAGTCACTAGTACAGCACAGACACTCAAAAATGGAATATTATTTGCAGAAAATTAATTCCCTATCAAATTTTTTTTTAAACCAATTAGGTGAAATAGGATGATGACCCTGAGCCATGGTTCTGCTCCAGGTTTCTGCCTGTTAAAAGGAAGTTTTTCCTTGCCTGGGTCGCCTAGTGCTTGCTCATGGTGGGAATTGTTTGGTTTCTGTAATTAACTTCAGAGTAGGGTCTGACCTGCTCTGTTTGGAAAGCGCTGTGAGATAAAACTGTTGTTGTGATGTGGCGCTATATAAATAAACTGAGCGAATGCCGATCTGATCTGCAGGTACTTGATCAAGTTCCTCTCCAAGCTGACCGAATACCAGGATGTGAACAAGATGACCCCCGGGAACATCGCCATCGTCCTCGGACCCAACCTGCTCTGGACTCACAGCGAAGGGTGGGACGGGTCGCCTGCTTCTTTACTTTTAGTCTGATTCTGTCACTCGTAAAAAGCCAAAGATGGCCGCCCCCATCTGGGGAGGGAACCCTCAAAAGATGCCTGATAAAAGAACATTTATAAGCTAAGTGTGAACACAAAATGCCAAAGGTTTTACAGAGGAAAGTAAAGGATACAGGAAGTAAACATTAGAACCAGAACCCCCTTTGTGGCGGGGCAGGAAAGGTCAGAGGGGGAAGAGGTGCATCATGGGAGACCCCCAGAGGGAGGGAGAGGTGCATTATGGGAGCCCCCCAGCAGTCTTGGCCTATAGAGGGAGGAGAGGTGCATTATGGGAGACCCCAAGAGGGAGGAGAGGTGCATTATGGGAGCCCCCCAGAAGGGGAGAGGTGCATTATCGGAGCCCCCCAGAAGGGGAAAGGTGCATTATGGGAGCCCACAAGGCATCTGGGCATAGAGGGGGGAGAGGTGCATCATGGGAGCTCTGCCTGCCATTGTGCTTTCAAACTCAGGAACCAGAACCGGAACCTGAGAGCTCCAGAACTTTAGGTTCTGGTTCTTAGTTTAACGGGGAGCCAATGATGTGGAAAAAACTTTAAATTAAAAAAATATTTCCAGGCCTTAAACCAACCAAAGGGAAGCCCCCAGGTCCGGGAAGGTGGGCTCACAAACCGGGACCAGAGGAAATCAGGGTTTTGGCCAACAGCAGCTTGTGGATTATTTATTTATTCGTTTATTTGATAGGGACAAGTATGTTTCATGAAACATGTCACACACTACAACATTTTAGCTAATGCTATAATTCTCAATGCCTGTCCCCAGTTAGGCTTTTACACAAAACACAGTGACTGTACACAACAGAACAAATCACACACTAAAACATCACAAATACAAGATCAGGACAGTTAGATTATTAATGTCCACTGTTATTGAATGTGTGATGGACATTTTCCAGAAAACCAAAACGACAGAGAGTGGCTTCTCTTTGCCTTTATCGTTCAGCTCCTTCTGTTGGGGGCCGGAATCGTTTTTTCATGCATAAATTCAGACGCACAGAAATGAGACTCTGCAGGGATTCTCTCTCTTTTCCTCTTATTACACCACGAAAAACACGAGCAGCTAATAACCAGGAGGCAGCAGCTCATAAAGCGGGATTTGATTAAGATGGAAAACCGAAGGGGGGAAGGACACGTCCCTCATATCTCAGCGTAAATCTAACAAACTCTTCGGGGTCCGTAACTTTTAATTAGTATTTTTAATGGGCTTCGTGTCCAGAATGGGTTTAATTGTCCTCCGTAATGTCAGGAATGGGCGTAAATCATCCCGAGGGTGATTTTCTGGAGTTTTCTCCTCCCCTAAAAGCCTTTTTGTGTCGTCTCTCTGCAGAAACATCACAGAGATGATGACGACCGTCTCCCTGCAGATCGTCGGCATCATCGAGCCCGTCATCCAGCACGCCGAGTGGTTTTTCCCCGGAGGTGAGGACTCAAACCAGCTCTGGTTTCCCTCCGCCCACATCCAAGTCGGCCATTTTGATTAGGTCACCAATAGGAAGATCCCAGGCAAGAGAATCCTAATTGCTTCATGGCAATATAGACATTGATTTAAAAATAGCTAAATGAATCTTGCAGTTGGGCCCCTCCCTGGGTCTGGGTCTGGGTCAGCTTTGGGTCTGGGTCTGGGTCTGGGTCTGGGTCTGGGTCTGGTTCTGGAATTAAACTCTATCCATAAAATTATGTTAAAATAGTGGATGTTAGATAGGTTTGTACAATAAGTCCAAACAAGTTTAACCAAAAAATATTTATTTCTCACAATTATGAAGGATGGAGGGTTAGGGTTAGGGTTAAGGTCAGGGTCAGGGTCAGGATTAGGGTTAGGGTTAGGGTTAGGTTTAGGTTCAGGGTTAGGTTTAGGGCTAGGTTTAGGTTCGGGGTTAGGTTTAGGAATAGGTTTAGGTTCAGGGTTAGGTTAAGGGTTAGGTTTAGGTTTAAGGTTATGGTCAGGGTTATGGTCAGGTTAGGGTTAGGGTTAAGGTCAGGATCAGGATCAGGGTTAGGTTTAGGGCTAGGTTTAGGTTCAGGGTTAGGTTTAGGGTTAGGGTTAGGGTTAGGGTCAGGGTTAGGGTCAAGGTCAGGGTCAGGGTTAGGGTTAGGGTTAGGGTCAGGGTTAGGGTCAGGGTTAGGGTCAGGGTTAGGTTTAGGGTCAGGGTCAAGGTCAGGGTTAGGTTTAGGTTCAGGATTAGGTTTAAGGCTAGGTTTAGTTTCAGGGTTAGGTTAAGGGTTAGGTTTAGGTTTAGCTTTAGGGTTAGGACATCGTTTATCTTCCGATTCCGTATAGACAGTAAACTTTCGCCTCCACCTCAGAAAGCTGCTAATCACATAAACCTAATAAATCAAAATGGCCGCCTTGTTTGCGGGAGGAGCCGGACATCCATCCGAGGCTCCCGCAGGCTCCTCCTCCTATCGTCTTTTTTCCTCAGAAATCGAGTTCAACGTGACGGGGAACTACGGCAGCCCCGTGCACACCAACCACAACGCCAACTACAGCTGCATGCCGTCCCCCGACCCGGAGCCCAGCGACCGGCGGCCCGACCACGGCCGCCGCCCGCTCAGCGTGGCCACCGACAACATGATGCTGGAGTTCTACAAGAAGGACGGGTAGGGTAGGGTAGGGCGGGTTAGGGTTAGGGGATGAGGGGGTTAGGGGGTTAGGGGGTTAAGCAGCGTCTGACGGCAAAACGTAGCAAAAAAAGGTGGAAAAGGGAATGAAATTGTGGAAAATCCAGCAGAAAAATGAGGAAAATCCAGTTTCCAAAGTCGAGATGTTGAAAAGTTGAACTGAGATAAGATAAAAGGGAATAAAACTGTGGAAAATCTATCAGAAAAATTAGGATCAGGGGAAAATCCAGCTTTCAAAGTTGATATGTTAAAAGACTAAACTGAGATTAGATTATAAAACAACCAGGAAATCCAATCGTTTTGGATTGGATCAATGTAGATCAATGGAAAAGGGAATAAAACTGTGGAAAATCCAGCTTCCAAAGTCGACATGTTGAAAGATTGAACTGAGATAAGATAAAAAGGTAATAAAACTGTGGAAAATCCAGCAGAAAAATTAGGAAAATCCAGTTTCCAAAGTCGACCAGTTAAAAGATTGAACTGAGATAGGATTAAAAAAACAACCAGGAAATACACTCGTTTTGGATTGGATCAATGGAGATCAATGGAAAAGGGAATAAAACTGTGGAAAATCCATCAGAAGAATTTGGAAAATCCAGCTTCCAAAGTCGACAAGTTAAAAGATTGAACTGAGATAAGATAAAAAGGGATTAAAAATGTGGAAAATCCAGCAGAAAAATTTGGATCTTGGGAAATAAGATAAGTCTAAAAAACAACCAGAAAAGTTTAGTCCCGTCTTTACAAGCATTTAACTAGAGAACCTGGATTTATATAGTTGTTTTTGGTCAAAATTTTGGCCATTTTTACGTTTAAAGCTGGAGCAAAACTCACATCAGGACTAAAACGCTTCAAAATGCAACGCTTAACATGATGGCGAAGCGCCACAAAAACCAATAGAAAAGGGAATAAAACTGTGGAAAATCCATCTGGAAAATGTGGAAAATCCAGCTTCCAAAGTCGATATGTTAAAACACTAAACTGAGATTAGATTATAAAACAACCAGGAAATCCAATCGTTTTGGATTGGATCAATGGAGATCAATGGAAAAGGGAATAAAACCTCAGTCCAAAGGTAGTAATAAGAGCCCTGTTGGGAAAGTTTACAATAAATGAGATGAAATAGTCATCCTAAGTGACTTTCCTCTCCTCTTTCCAGTCGGGAAACAGAGGAAAAGGGGATTTTAATCCAGCCTGTTGTAACTTTGTCTTTACAATACAAAACCTGAAAGCTATTCGTGAGCAAATCATTGAGCTTTTCAGGAAATTGCTGGAAAAAATGAGAGAATAAGTTTTGTTTTTGTTCCGGTTTCACGCGTCTGTCGTCTGTTTGCCGTCGTTCTGCGTAAAAATGGGAAATCTCGACTTCTGCTGGTGGCCCCCAGAAACCGCTGAATCAGGGAAAATAAAGGCGCTCTGATTCATTTGAGAGATGAAGGTCAGAGTGAGCCGGGGAGAGGAAAAAATCTGTCGTCTCTCTGTGAGACTGTGACCAATCGGGAACGACGCCTCAGGAGAATGAAGACCAGGAAATCCATTTAAATCCATTCAACAATTAACAGCCACTCGGATCAGAAACCAAATCAGTGCTTCCCAGGCTTCAAACCTCAAGTTAAATGTTTAGTAATTTCTCTGTGAGATGAAGGAAGAAACTGGACGGATGGCCCCCCACCTCTGAAAGAACCCATTTTAATTCAATTAAATTGTATTTAAGAAGCACCGAATCACAACACAGGTCTAATTCAAGCCAGTTAGAATCCAATTTATTGTAATCCAATCAGTTCAAGTCCATTAAGCTTCAAACACTTCCAATTTCACACAGTTAAAAAAAAAAAAAACACTGCCTCGTTCTTTGGAAGGTTTATTTGTGGAACACGTATCGAACACAAGGTAACTGAAAGGGCTTTAGATCATAAGATCCCAATGAAAGACATGAAAGAAAATATTCATTAATTAATGGGACACTTCTTAGATCTGTGAGAATAGGAAAGATCCTCATCCTGCAAAACTCAAATCAGCTCAGACCAAAACCCCCAAAACTCAGAACAAAACCCCAAAAACTCAAATCAGCTCTGAACAAAACCCCAGAAACTCAAATCA